GCCAAGAGTTCCTGGAGATCGTGTTGTCTCTTGGAGTCGATCTTTCTGAGTGATTCGTAGCGAGATTCGTGCTTCAAGAAGTCAGCGAGTTTCTCCTTCTTCATTGTTGGGTTATCTAAGACAACCTTCTGTCCTGGCTTCCTTCTGAAGATTGGCCAGTATCCGGACTCGACAGCGAGTTTAGCCTGCTTGTGGCCGTTCTTCATTGTTGGTCTGACGCCGTGTCCGATGCATGGGCAGTAGCAGTCGATGAATGATGTGCCCTTGTGCTCGTCGGCCTCCTTCATTGCCTTGACTGTCTGAGCTGCATTAGCGCCGATGACGCATGATGCGACGTAGACATCTGGGTACTGTAAGAACATGCCAGCGAGGTCCTTCTTCGGCTTGTCCTTGCCTGTTGCTGCGAACTTGAGGACGGAGCCACGTGGAGATGCCTTGGATGTCTGGAAGCCTGTGTTGGCGTATGACTCGTTATCGTAGACGAGACAGTTGACATCAGCACCTGTAGCGACGACGTGGTCGAGGCCAGCAAAACCGATATCGTTAGCCCAGCCATCGCCACCGACGATCCAGACTGATGGTTTGACGAACAAGTCGTATCTCTTCTGGATCTCTCCGAACAATCCTGTTGTCTGTGGGATTGTCTTGAGGATGTCCTGGATGGAGTTGGAGAGTGGAAGTGACTTCTCACCCTTGTCGTAGTTGGCGAGCCACTCTGTGAACAATGCCATGAGTGCTGGATCGCACTTCTCGCCGGACTTGATGAATCTCTCGACAATTCCCTTGAGTTCGAATCTGCGGTGAGCAACGGCAGCGGCGATACCGAGGCCGAACTCAGCGTTATCTTCGAACAAGGAGTTGCCCCATGTTGGGCCTTGTCCGCGTGAGTTGTATGTCCATGGCTGTGATGGGAATGAGCCAGACCAGACGATGGAGCAGCCTGTAGCGTTGGCGATCATGAGACGTGGGCCGAAGAGTTGTGTGAGCATCTTGGCGTACAATGTCTCGTGACAGCCTGCGCAGGCACCAGAGTACTCAAGTAATGGCTTGTAGTACTGTGAGCCATCAGCTGTCCACTTCTTCTTCTCGAGGCTTTCGTTGAGAGCTGGATCAGCCTCACGTAATGCGTCGATGTCTGGAAGCTTGGCGAACTTGTCGTAGAGTGCGGCAGCCTTTGTGACAACTTCCTCTGTGGCAAGTGGGAATGACAATGCCTTTGTTGGGCACTTCTCGATACAGACTTGGCATGATAAGCAGTCGTGTGCGGAAACTGTGATTGCGAAGTCGTATCCCTTGAACTTCTTGGACTGAAGGACTTTGACTCCTTCTGGTCCCTTGCCGTGCTTCATCAACTGTGGTCTGATGACAGCGTGTGCGCATGAGTAAGCGCAGGTGTTGCACTGGATGCACTTGTCGGCATCCCAAACTGGGATGTTTGTAGCAATGCCACGCTTCTCGTACTTGGATGAGCCTAAGCCGTCACGTGGGATTCTGGCTGTGATTGGAATGAGATCGGATGGCTTCATCTCGTTGCCCTTGAGCTCGAAGATTGGGAAGATGGCCTTCTTCATGAGCTCTGGAGCATCGGCGTTGGCGAATCTGGAGATTGGTGTTGGATCGAACTGGCCCCATTCCTGTGTGATTTCGATCTTGATGAGGTTATCGATGGAGGAGTCGATAGCCTTGATGTTGGCCTTAACGACTGCTTCGCCGGAATGTCCGTACTGCTCTTCGACGGATGCCTTTGAAACCTTGATGGCGTGGTTTGTCTCGAGAACGCCAGAGAGGTAGAAGAAGGCTGTCTGCATGATGAGGTTGATACGTCCTGGAATTCCACAATCAATGGAAATCTTTGTAGCATCAATGCAGTAAACCTTAGCCTTCTTGTCGTAGAGCTGGCGAAGTGTAGCCTTTGGAATGTATTTCTCGAGTTCCTTAGCGTTGTGAGCTGGGCAGTTGAAAACGAAGATGCCGCCGTTTCTCAACTCCTTAGCGACTGGATAAACACGTGGGAAGTTGATGCAGTGGACACCAATGTAATCAGCTTGCTTGATAGCGTAGTTTGATGTAATTGGCTTCTTGCCGAATCTGAGGTGGGAACGTGTGAGACCACCAGACTTCTTAGCATCGTATGTGAAGTAGCCTTGGCCGTAGAGTGGTGTTTCCTTGCAGATGATCTTGATTGATTCCTTGTTGGAGCCAACTGTACCATCGGAGCCAAGACCCCAGAAGATGCACTGCTTTGTGCCATCTGGAACCATATCGATTTCCTCTGGAACTGGAAGGCTTGTATGCATTAAGTCATCGACAATGCCGACTCTGAAGAGGTTGCGTGGCTTCTCGGAGAGGGAGTTCTTGAAGACTTCAGCGGCTTGTGATGGTGTGAGTTCGCGGCCACCAATGCCGAACATGCCGCCGAGAATCTTGCGCTTGTCGCCAATAGCCATGAAACCAGCGCAGATATCGGAGTGGAGTGGTTGTGTGAAGGCACCGTTCTCATTAACTCTGTCGAGAACTGTGATTACCTTGCATGTCTTTGGAATTGCCTTGGCAAGGTGCTCTGGAGAGAATGGGCGGAAGAGACGGACTGTGACAACACCGTACTTGGCACCCTTTGCATTGCAGTAGTCGACGGCTTCTGAGATGTTCTGGGATGTTGAGCCAAGGACAACAATGACGGACTCTGCCTCTGGATGGCCGTGGTAGTCGAAGAGGTGGAGATGGCGGCCTGTGATCTTGGCGAGCTCATCCATTGTTTCCTGGACAACTTGTGGAACATTTCTGAAACGGTAAGCAGCAGCTGTGTCTGCCTGGAAGTGGAAGGAAGAGTCGATAGCAAGCATACGAAGGGATGGATGGTTGGGGTTGAAAGCGCGTTCACGGATTGCTTCGAGTTCCTTTTGTGGAATGAGTGGCTTAAATTCGTCGTAGTCAAGGAGTTCGACGTTTGTGATCTGGTGTGATGTTCTGAAGCCATCCCAGAAGTGAAGGAATGGGATCTGGCATTTCATAGCAGCAATATGAGCAACAGCTGCAAGATCATGGCAGTCTTGGTTAGAGGCGGATGAAAGCATGTTAGCGCCGCTAGCTCTGACTGTCATAACATCGGAGTGGTCACACTCGATTGTACCAATTGAGGAAATGAGTGAGCGTGAGGCAACGTGAATGACTGTTGGGACTTGAGCGTGCTTCATCTTGATGATATTTGGTAACATCAAGAGCAAACCTTGAGAAGAAGTAAATGTCGATGCAACGGCACCAGCAACAGAGCCACCATGAAGGGAACCTGCAACACCACCTTCATGTTCAAGCTGAATGCATGTTGGAACTTGACCGAAAACATTCTTTCTGTGGTCCTTGTTAGCCCATTGTTCAACTAATTCGAAAGCTGTTGTTGATGGGGTAATTGGATAGCCAAATGCAGTCTCAGTAAAGGCATAGCCGACATATGCAGCGGCAGCATTGCCATCTACTGGGACAACATGTTTTTGGCGAGAAAATGCGTCTCCAATGCTAAGCATAAAATTGAAATGAGTTTCCGTTTCATTTCATCTCATCTTTTCATTTTTCATTTTTTCTGCATTGATTACCATTTATTAGAGAGATTAATAAAAAATGTTTGGAGAAATAGATGATCTCAAATTTTGAATTATCCAAACTTATTTGGCAGATCAGTATTGTATTGGATAGCCTATCAATATTAAAATATTAATGAAAAAATGACATCATGATCGAAACAAAAACAATGAAGACGATGTCTTTTCAATTTTTGTGAAGAATTCAATTGGAAAATTTTGTGTTCTCCTTCATAATTTTGAAGATTTTTAGAACCTTCTTCCAATTACATATTTGAAATGCATTTATCATAGTGTCTATTCATGGATAAATGTTTTATTTTCTCAAAAAAGTCAAATCAAATTTTACAGCTTGGGGAAAAATTGATTTTTATCGATTTGGTCAATCGTTTATGCAATTGAATACTCATGGTTATGACAGTAAGCTGCTGTTAGCTACAATTACCAAATTTTCAAAATATAATGAACGGAAAATCTTCAGAAACCGAACATTTCTTTCGGAACTAGCTAAGTTATGCCAAATAAATGCATCACTAATGCTAATAAAGTTCACATTACCAATTTTTAATCCTGCTGATTTTTTCTGCTGATACCATGAATTACAGATATCATCGTACCTGCGTGCAATATAAAACAAGCAAAATGCATCATATCGGCATAAATTCTGATAGCATTGACTATCCAAAATCTCAAAACTTTAATAAACAATTGATTTCGAAGATTTACGCAAGGATGCTATCTTTAAACTTCTATCATTTATACTATTTGTTCAATAAAATTATGTTGATACTATTGAATTAATGTAGAAATCATACATTCACAGCAAAACTCATTCCTATGATTGAAACATATTACCATACTTATATAACCTCCAATTACTATAGAATTCCACACCGAGCAACATATTCTTTCATTATTTCCATGCCATTTATTGGTGTTGGACTAAAACATATAAATGATTTAGATTATGAATGAGCCATCATATTTCCTTAACTAACCTATCATAATTTCAACTATAATATTGGAGGACACATCATTTTGATGAGAATCTGAATATTTAATTTGAATCTATTCCAAATACAAAACAGTTCAATCTATGAAGACTAAATTAGCATTTACTGGCTAGATAACTGATGGTTTGTTCTTTCATTCGTCATTCAATTGCAAATGATCAATAAATACTGCTTCTTTTTATAGATTTTAATACTACATCAGATGGACATATAAAATTATGGTCTAGAATTAAAAAGAATCATTGTTTGAATTTTTTGATGAGTAAAAGAGTAAGAAATCGGAATCGCAACCAGATAAACTAATTCACCATCAGTAGGGACCTTATAATACGGAGTCTAGAAACTAAATAAGGCGATTTTTTAAATGAAGTGAAGTCATCATCCATAAAATTTTTTCAAAAGAAACTTCAGAATGGCATCTAGCGGACGTTCCGAAGAGACTGAAGTACTTTGTCAGCATATAGATACCGTAACATCTAAAATGGAGCAAATCCTCCTCTTATTCAGCCCTGGATCTGACTTCGTTAAGTGCTTTGATTCAGGTGAAGGTAAAACATGGGCTACCTATGTTCAGCAATACACCAACTCTATTACAATGAAGACGGATGCACCTAAGGTTCCAAGCGGATCTTCAATGAACAAGTGGCTCGCGTCAATGTATCCAAAAATCAACAAGATTGCAGCATCAATCAAGTATATTGGTCAATGGGCCACGCTTTCCATCTACCAACTCAAGCTAGCCATCGGTAAAATCATAGAACTTGATATTCGTTGGAATCAAAACACAACAATAACATTATGCAAGATTTTCGTTCAGCTTGTTAAAGTTATGCTTTTCTTCAACCAAACACAGCTTCTCCGTAATTACGCTTTAATTGTTGCCAACGCACCATCAAAAGAATTTGTTGGAATCAGCAATGACTTTCCTAAAATCCTCCATCTTATGGACAACTGCACAATCAGTCCATTCCACTGCCTCGCAGTCAACATCGAGCCAATTAAGGGCAAGATGGCACGCTTAGCTTCAAATATCGGAACTTTCATTGCCAAGCTTTTCGGCGTTTTCCCACTTATCGAATGGGAACCATTTTCCATATTTACCAAGCGTACAGCACAGCCTGAGTCTATGTTACCAGCTGATGAATTTATTATTCTCCAGAACATTTCCCTTTTCAAGGAGACATTGTTCTTCTTCCTTATGACATTCCCAGACACAACATCCAAGAACGAATGCTTCGGCCTCATTGTCGAAGCCCTTCTTTCCGAAATTCCAGTTATTCCAATAACTCGTTTAGTTTCCATCAGTTTGGATGATTTCCTCAAGCTCTGCCCAAGCGATGTCTTCAACAAGACCCTCCTCAACGCAGCCATCTTGCAGACAAAGCGTAAATTCAATACATCCCACATCCAACGTATTATTCGTGTCACAATTCTTCTGGAAGACATCTTAAACATCTGCAAGTTCAACATTTCCCTTCTTCCTCCACTCATGAACTTCATTACAGCGTTGGGAGGCCTTGCATATTACGAACTCGATACTTGCTTCTATTTCAAGGAGCCAAGGAACGAGGCCATGCATCTTCTTTCAGTTATCACAGATATCGCCGAACTCATTCGCCTCAACTTCAACTACATTCAGAGATTCTTCCTCTTCAACATCGCTTCTACAGACACACAATACCTCGAACGCCAGCTCAGCCAAGCAGTCGTTACAGCATGTTCTACACTCAAAGAAGTAGACATGTCCAAGCTTATTACGGATATCCTTTCATCACTTCTCGCTCTCGACCTCGAACAGTTCGATAAAGGCTACAGATACGAGTTCACTCCACTTCTCGTCACTCACAGCCACTACTTGTTCAAGTTTGCCGAAATAAAGACCCGCGAGAGAGTTTCCTTCCTCGATCCAATCTTTGAGCATCTCTCCGTCATCAGAGATCACATTGCATTCGCTACAAACCCAATCCAGGCATTCCTCAACTACGTTCCATTGCATACGATGTGGAATCACCTCACTTTCCTTGGTACAATCATCAGAGGCACTGAGATACAGATCAACTACACACCATCTGTTCTCAAGATGTTCACATTCTTCTCCTACGACACATGCGTTCTCAGACAGCTTGGAATTGAGTGCCAGAACGTTGTAAAGAAGTATTCAGAGATCAGAGGCCATTTATTCCTCAGAATCACACAGAGCATCACTCAGAAGATCGACAGCGAGAGCCCAGAAGTGAGAATTCTCATGCAGACACACAGTTTCTTGACAGGAATGTCCGGATTCAAGAGCGAAGAGTTCTCTCTTCCAAAGGGATCCTCAAAGAAGAAGATTGTTCTCATGAACGCAGACAACATCGAGAAAACACAACAGATCGGCTCTTTCTTCGAGAGAGTTCCTCAATCTGTTGTTCTCCTTAAGAACCCTGATTACGCTGCGGGATACTACGCGAACAACATCACAGAGAACTTGACGAGATTCATGTTCCCGAGTGATGTAACTCCATCATTCTATTACATGGACATGGCTTTCACAGCATCAACAACATTCATCTGGCCACTGTTCACAGCACTCGGATCTTCATTCCAGAGACGTCTCTTCGAGTACAGATTGAGAGAATCATCGTATCCGAACCAGAACAAGCTCGACGCACAGATCCAGTCGATGCTTGGACTCAGAAAGGAAGATACTCCAATCAACAACAACACTTTGATTCTTAGAATTGAGAGGACATACGTTGAATTCATTTCTAAGAAGTTCAAGAACTGTTTGTACATTCCTCCTCTCAAAGGATTCTGGGGATTGAACAATTCCAAGGATTCCTGCCAGTTCTTCACTCTCGGAAGCATCGAATTCCTCATCAGATCATTGGGAATCAACGCTGGATTCAGAATCAACAAACTTCTCACGATGAAGTGCGTCGAAGCAATTTCCTCCATCTTCAGGACATTCTGCGATTTGGAGCCACAGATCAATTCGTGGTACGACGACAACAGAAGATACGGAAACATCAAACCAGAAATCGCACAGAACCCACACATTTCTGTCGCAGTTGAGAACATGCAGAGACTTGGTGTTTGCCTCGCATTGAGATCATTGTTGAGAGAGGCGATCAAGAAGATTGTCGACAGGAACTTGCCAGGATTGACAACATTGATCGATGCAGCTGTCAAGAGGAAAGAGAACTTGGATCCAAGAGAAGTTCTCATCAGAGAAATGCTCTGCGGAGATACTCCAGAAGTTCCTTTCATCAGGACAAAGTTGCAGACATTCAATTTCAAGAAATTGAAGAAATCATCTCATTTCTTCTTCTTCTTCGGAATCCTCCTTCTCTCTCCAACATTCAACAACGCAAAGTACGATTCAGCTCACGATGCAATCAAGGAGAACATGCACTTGTTCCCCAATGCAATCGCTGCAATCATAAGATGCGCTGACACAATGTTCGAGGATCTCGCTGACAGGACTCCTTCAAACCCTGTCTACCTCAAGGGCATCGAGACAATGCTCTCAACACTCAGATCAATCATCCACTTCAAGCAGGCAAGCAACGACAATTCTGCTGCAACATCAATCACAGTCATGGCTTCTCTCTTCCCGAAGGCAATTCCATCAATTCCATACGCAACAATCGATGCTTACTTCCCATCAAGAACAGTCAACCACGCTCATTCCGATGCTGCCTTCGAACAGGCAAACAGACCAATTACTCAGATGTAATTTCCTTCTTTATTTCGATTTATTTTATTTTACTAAAAAATTACGAGTTTTTAATTTTAAATTTTCTATCTATTTTCCTCCCTTTCAAATGTAATCAAAAGAACTTTGGAGTAATAAATATAACTTTGCAAAAAAGTCCATTGGAATATGAAATAAAACTTAGTAAAAATGATGCTTTTCCGATGTTTGTTAGGGGTGCGAGGAGATCCAAAAAGAGTAGGTAATAAAAGTGCGCACTTTTGTTACTCTCTCTTCCAAAAACATCGGAAAAGTGTAATCCTCTAGCAAATGATTATTTTGCATTTAATATCGAATAACATTTGAATCAACAAAAATCATAAGCTAGAGAATCAGTATTTCAGATTCAGATTCAAAATTTTTCGGTTTTGTAAAGTAAAATTTTTTAATGAGTGAAGGACTTATTCAGAATTTCGAATAAATTGGGGCTCACATCGAAGATTATATTGATGACAATAAGTTATTTAACACGTTCGAAAAGGAAGACATTGCAAAAATACTGAAGTTTGCAAATTTGTCAACAAATGACTTCATTACTATTCTGCAACAGGCACATTCTACAACTAATGCAAGTAAATTATATCTTAGTACTCGAAATGCGCACGTTACAATTCAAAACTTTGAAGAAGCCATTTCCCTTCTTAAATCATTAAAGAAATTTCTTAAACTGAAAATGCTTGATGGAGTAATTGATATCTTGATTCAATCAGATAAAGAAAAGTCTGACTTGACAAAACAAATACAAAATCTTCAAGAAAAGTTAAATTCAATTCAAAATCAAGAAAATGACAAAGAAATTCAAAATCAAGAAAATGACAAAGAAATTCAAAATCAAGAAAATGATAAAGAAATTCAAAATCAAGAAAATGACAAAGAAATTCAAAATCAGGAAAATGACAAAGAAATTCAAACAAAAATCGAAGAAATTAATAATTCTGATGATTTTGAACGCATTTACAACTTCTTTGACGAGCTTTCGTCTCAAGGAAATAAAATAGTGATTTCAAAAGCATGTGAAGAAGGACTCTGGAAGAAGAAAGGAACTAATGATCAAAATGTACTTCATGTTGCAAGTGAAAAAGGAAATCTCAGACTTGTTAAATCTCTCATCGAATGTCACTGTGACAAAGATACAAAGGATAATGAGGGATATACTCCACTCATTTTAGCTTCATTAAAATGTCATCTTGAAGTTGTTAAATATCTCATCTCTATTGGCGCTGATAAAAAAGCAAAAAATAATAGTGGAGCTACTCCACTCATATATGCATCATTAAAATGTCATCTTGAAGTTGTTAAATATCTCATCTCTATTGGCGCTGATAAAGAAGCAAAAAATAATAGTGGAGCTACTCCACTCATATATGCATCATTAAAATGTCATCTTGAAGTTGTTAAATATCTCATCTCAGTTGGAGCTAATAAAGAAGCAAAGGATAATAGTGGATTTACCCCACTTGAAATCGCATCACTTCTTAAAAAGAATGAAGTTGTTAAATATTTTTCCTCAATCTGAGCTAAATAAAGAAGCTACACTGAATGAATCTTGAATTTCGACCTGAAATGATATACAAAAATAAGTCATAAAACAATTTCAAACACAATTTGCTTGCTCATAATTACAACAAAAACGAAGGTTTGCTTTTCATTATTGATTTCAGAGTTTGATTCACATTCTCTATGAAGTTTCTGTGTTATTGATTTAATTCTAAAAATAATTTGAATTCCAGATGGCTTTATCATGTAGGTCGACAAGAACAGCAATTGTATTTTTTTTTTCAAATAATTAAGATATAATAAAATCGTATTGTTTAGCGTAAAAAGACAATCATGATTTACTTTACCATTGACTTGAAGCTCCGATTCTCTTTACCATCTTCATGATTACATCAGCAACTTTATCAGGAGCATCTTCATGGACGCAGTGGCTGGTTCCATTGATAACAGAGAGCTGGAACTTACCACTCATGTGTCCAATTGTAAATGGAGTATCTAAGCGATCAATTGTTGGAAGAATAAGAATCTTATATGAGTGAGCATGGATGAATGCATCAGCAAATCCTTTGAACCATCCTGGCCATGCTTCCTTTGATTTCAGAATATCAGTCTTCCAAGTAAGCTTCTTATCTGCTGTTTCTTTCATTCTTCCAGAAACTGAGATCTTGGCGCTGTCGAAATTCTCCATCTCGCCACTTGTTGCGACGTATGCAATAGCATCATTTGCAGATTCGAAAGCTTGTGGTCTTTTATGAAGTAATTTCTCCATACCTGGCAATTGCTGAATTGTACTGCCTTCGATCGTATCGATTGCGATGATAGACATTGAAGGAACTTTTGAAGCAGCAAATGTAACAACAGATCCACCAACTGAGTGGCCAAGAAGAATTGCACGCTTATCCTTTGGAATGAAAATTTCTGCAAGAGCAATAAAATCTTCAACCATGCTATTTAATTCTAAATCTTTTGATTCATCACCAGGTGTATCGCCATGGCACTTGAAATCTGGTGCAACAACAGTAAGTTGACCCTTGAGCTCTTTTGCGAGTAATGAGAATGAAAGTGCAGAATGTCCGATTCCGTGAACGCAAAATAGAACAAAATTGCTGTCACATGGGTTTGAGTAAACATTGAAAGTTCCACGGGGTGTTTCAATCATTTCTTTCTTATCCCAGTAGTTACTCCACTTAGCAAAACCTTCCATCGTACCGATTTTGATCGGAAGTTTACATTCATTTCATCATTTTATCTTCACTTATTGAAAAACGTCTATATTATTAGCTAGACTGCATGCATTCCAATAAGATGTATCAATCATTCATTAAAGATTAAATTTTATTAAATTTCATTTATATTCCATTTAATTTTAACCGAGGAATCCATCACTCCATCTAAGCGTGAATTATTTCCATAGCAACCTATACATGAATTTTAATTTGCTAATAATGATATCGAAAAGATATAAAAAATGTTAGTTGAATATGAAATAAAGGTATTCGTACATACATATATTTACAGATAACAAAATAGGAAAGAAGTAATAGCGATTATTTTTCAAAAAATTAATTACGTTTTTTGATATCAGGATGAACCGGCTGTAAAGCACGGGCTTTAACTCTTCTAACTTTTCCTTGCATAGCTAATTGACGTTTGAGATCCGTTAATTCTTTAATAACCATATTATACTTTTCTTTATACATTGTATTTGCATCATTTGTAGTGTTTGGACGAACCTGCTTGCCTTTAAGGTGGTCTTTTAGATCTTGAATAATTTCATCTTTTTCTTCTAAAATTGCTTCTTTTTCGCGTAAAGTAAATTCGAGCTCGCTTATCTTTTTCTGAAGGTTACTTGCCTCTTCCATTGCTTGCCTGCGCTGATTTGTCTGTATTGTAAAATCAAGTGATGGATCTTCATCAGCAAAGCTGAAATTCTGAAGTCCTGCCATGATTGAACTTGTAACTTCAATGGGATTTGATTTCTTGGGTGTGAAACTATCTGTAGATTTTTGAACTGAAGATCTTCCTCTATTTGAAGAAGGTAAAGCAATAGATTCGAATAAAACAGAATCTCTACCTTCTAGATCCTGTACAAGATTATCAAATGTCTTTGGAGTAGGAGCTCTGACAAATTGATTGTCGTCTTCGTACCACATTTTCTTCTTTTTCTTCTTTGAATTATTCAACGGTTTTTTATTTTTGGAATAATCGTCCAAGATATGCACATTAACAACTTAGGTCAACCAATCATAAGAAATGAAATTTTTCAAAACAAATTTGTATTATAACTTATTCTTATATCTGTTTGCGAAGATTTCCGGATTAATTTAAGATATTTTATGTTTATATCACATATATCTGATATTTAGATCAGGTATTTTCAGATGTTACATATGAACATACGTAAAAAGTGTGTTACACCCTTGAAACACGATACATCTTTCTTGTTAAGCAATTTTTTTGAGCATTATAACCAGAACTATTAATGTCGACCGAAATGAATTTCAGAGTGAGCTAATGTAGCTTCGAAGAGACTAATAACAGAAAAATATTGCAATATCAATTTCTAAACGTGGTAGTTGGGGAATCATCAGATTTTAAAGAAACAATTCATTATCTATTTAATACAAATTACTTTGATAAAAGCACTTGCGTTCGAAATTTAGAAAAATCCATTTTTATCAGGAATCTGCATGAAAGAATAGAAATTCTTGATGATAACAAGAAAGCAAATTGATTTCAATAAAAATATCTGAGATGCGATAAAATTGTAAACAGACTTGTTCAAATAATAAAAGATTGCCTCAGCTGAATGTCGCAATCTTTAGACAGTTTTCCTAAGAAAAATATGTTTGATATCAACTACACAGACGGGTCACTGAAAAAACTTACCTCGAACAACAAAAATGAAGAATCTTCAGATTATAGTGCAAATAAATCTCCAAAAAAGGAAAAGAATCGTGTAATTTTCACACCCCATTGGTTTAAAAACGATGAATATAAAGAAAAAACCAAAGTTACCTGGGAAGATAAATATAAAGAAATGACTGAAGTGCATTGGAGAATGGAAGTGTATGAAAAGCGCATATCAGACGATGAAATACCAGATGTATACCATCCCGGAATGATTCCCGGAATCGAAGTTAAAAAAGATCCGTTAAATGAAACTTTGAAAGAAAAAAGGCTTCTTAAACGATATACTATGGTCCAAGAAGAACAAATTAAACCACAATTTTGGCCACCAAGAATATACGATAAAACCATGAAGCAATTAAACGAATTTGAATCCACCCAGCTTTTACGACAAATAGAGAAACTTTCTGAGCCAGTTGATATAGATGATTTCGATGAACCTAGGGTTAAGAAAGATGTTCAACAAAAACGAATAGAAGGCAGACATACGATCGTTCTATCTCAATTAGACTTCGAAACTGAAAATGAATCAGACTTTACTCAATGGTCTGATGCATATTTTTAATCTCTTTACTACTTTATGTTCTTTTTAATGTATGTAGCAAATATATTATTTAATGTTGTTTGTTTTAAAACTAATTTGTTAATTAATCTTCCTATTTTTAAATACTAGGCACTATGCGATTATTAACATGCCAAGGAACGAGAAAATAAATTATAACGAATAAATTCGGGAACGAAATTAAAATAGGCCATTGAACTACTGATAAATAATAAATTTAAGTCAGATATATGATGGATGATGGATATAGAGCTAGTAAATGCTAGATTTCAAGATGATCATTTTTCAAAACTTGTTTTAAAACCATTCGAAAGGGGAAAATTAGAATGTTTAAATATTCTACATAATATTCCAGACAAAAGAAATGGCTTTTATTTTTTCTTTGAAATTAATAAACGAAAATCTCTAAAATCACCTGACCACATTTGAAATGGCAGCAAATAAGTTATCATTTAATGGCTTTTTCAAGGACGGCACCCGCTATTTCTCCGGTGTAGATGAAGTTCTCCTTCAGAACATCGACGCAGTTGTTGATTTAAGCGAACTCACACGCACGTCGATTGGTCCGAACGGTATGAAGAAAATTATCAAAAACCACTTTGGCAAACTCTATGTTACTGGTGATGCAGCCACCATCTTGAACGAGGCTGAAATCCAGCATCCCGCCGCCAAGATGCTTGTCACCGCATCACAGATGCAAGCTGAGCAAGTTGGCGATGGCACAAACTTTGTTTTAGTTTTCGGTGGTGAGCTTCTTCGCCGTGCTACTGAGCTTGTTCGTGCCGGTATCAACACAAAAGATATTGTTGCAGGCTACCAGAAAGCACTTGCCGAAGCACTTCGCATTCTTCCAACACTTGATCTTGGCAATAAATTCAACGTTGACGACAAAGCATCCGTTGCTGCTTGCTTAAAGACACCACTCTCCTCACACCAGTACTTAGACGCTGACTTCCTTTCAAACATTGCTGCGGAAGCATGTTTGATGGCATATCCAAACCACAATCTTCGCTTCAACGTCGACAACGTCCGCTACGCTAAAGCACTTGGTGGTTCTATCCAAGACTCGTTTGTTGTCAAAGGCTTTGCTATTCCACGTGAAGTTGTTGGCACCATCCGCCGCAAAGACGACGTCAAGATTGCTCTTTACACATGCTCTTTCGACTTTGCCGAGACGGACACAAAGATGAACACCGTTTTCACATCCGGCAAGCAGATGGAACAGTTTGCTCTTTCCGAGGAGAACCGCATGGAACAGATGGTTCTTTCTATCAAGGAGAAAGGCGTCAATGTTGTTGTTTGCCAGTCTAAGTTCACCGAGCTTGGTATCCACTACCTTGAGAAGCACGGCATCATGGCTGTTCAGTTACCATCTAACTGGGACATCAAGCGTCTTGCTCGCGCAGTGAAAGCAGTTCCACTTCTCCGCATTGGTGCACCAACCGAAGACGAGATTGGCCACTGCAAGTCGGTCGAAGCTCGCGAGATTGGTTCCACACCAATTGTCATCTTCGAAGCCGATGGCGAGATCTCTACTGTCATCATCCGCGGTGCTACACCAAATCTTATTGACGACATCGAGCGTTCCCTCGATGATGCAGTCAACTCATTCAGAATCCTCACAGAGCATCCACTTCTTGTTCCAGGTGCCGGTGCATCAGAGATGGAGCTTTCCACACAGATTTCTAAGTTTGCCGAATCACGTCCTGGCATGGACCAGTACGGCATCCGCAAGTTTGCCGAAGCTCTTGAAGTTATTCCACGCACCATTGCAGAGAACAGTGGCATCCGCATTTCAGAATTCATGGCCAAGATCCGTGCCTCACACAACAAGGGCGAATCTTCATCAGGTGTTGATGTTATCAATATGGACATTGGCAATTCTATTGAACTTGGTGCCTGGGATATTGCCCATGTCAAAGAGTGGGGCATGAAGTTTGCATGCGAAGTTGCCTGTACACTTCTTCGTGTTGACCAGATCTGCATGGCTAAGAAAGCTAGTGGACCAGCTCCTCGCTCTATGGGAGCGCGCGATGAGGATTAAAACTGAAATATTTTTTTTCTTTGCATTTAAATATAAAGGCCATAATAATAGATTTTTGAAATGTTTTTATCGCAAAACCTATAAGAGAATACATATTTCCAAAAATTATATCTTTCATATTCTTAAAACATTTAAATGGAGTCAAACAAATACAAAATTTTTAAACTCTAACATCATGCATAAGTAAGTAAATAGGATATTACACTCAAGATAAACATTAGTTTGATTTCAAATTCGAAAATGCTGATTTTAAGACATCCTCACTTGTTTTCTACGAGTTTTCCTATAGTAATTTATATCTACTATAAGACCAATATTGATCAAGATTTTGGATTTTGGTGTAATCCCCTGCAATAATAAAATAACTGAAAAGCGTTTTTTAAAAAATAATAATTAAAAATGACTGATTTTATGCCTATTATCGAAGCTTTGGAGAGGTATGACTACAATGGATATGTAGAACTTCTCCGAAACGTTCGTAATATCAATTTTCAAGACAATGATGGCAATACTTTGCTGCACAAATGCGTTACTTTTTGTAATTATCCATGTTTACTTTATACTATGGGAAAGAAAGCAAATGTAGATTTAGAAAACAAACTTAAATTAACACCTTTACATGTCGCAGTTTGGAGAGGATTTTTACCATTAGCAGCAGCACTCTTACAGGCAGGGGCACATACTGAAGTAACAGACGCAAACGGAATTCTTTTTATATTTATAGAACACCTTTAGCATTTGCCGTTAGAAGAAATGATATTAAAGCTATTAGATTACTCTTAGATTTTAATGCAAATCCAAACGCAACTTTGCCGAGTGGACTTTCATTACTATCTATGGCCGCAAAACATGGTTATTCTGAAGCAATTAGTTTACTTATTGAAGCCGGTGCTAGACATGATGTAGGAAGTAAACCACCTATAATCTCAGCTCTTGAAAGTGGTTCAAGAGCTGCACTAACTTCACTCGTTAAATCAAAACCTCGCGAAATTTTATCTGTATATAACGAAAAACCATTACTAGTTCACGCACTTGAGATGAAATCAACACTTTTACCTGTTGTTGCTACTCTTGTTCGTGAAGAAACACTTAAAATGAAAGAGGAAGGAGATCCAAACGCACCGCCTTTCCCTCCAACAGGACTTACATCATCACAGCAGAAGCGTCTTAATACAGCTCTCGAGAGGCAAGATTCTGTCATGATCTCCTCTTTCACTCCAGAAAATGATATTAAAATACGTCACGTTTGGGCCAAAATATCAGAACAAAAGGAAGAAACTACTATTGCAACGGAATTCCGTGAGCAAAAGTCCTTTGAATCTGAGCCTTTTGGTGTTCCAGAACAGAATAATCAACCAAATGATGATGTTTTAACAGATGAAGAGGAAGATAATGGAGATCCAGTAGAAGAGGAGTCTCAGAAATCTCATGATAGTTTATATATCCAAGAAAAACCACAACCTGTTGCTGCTTAAATTATTATTTAATTTTTTAATATATATAACGAACTGATAATATATAGCATAAGCCATATTCTAATAATCTCTATAGATTCCTTGCAAATCAAAGATTAAGAATTATTTTGAATCAAACTCAAACTCTGAGTTAAATTTCATGAAAGAAAGCCCGCTATAGCTTCCAGCATGTACCTCCACAAGAAGTACCCACACATGAAGTTAGGCTGCTCCGAAGCTCTTCAGTGCCCAACACTTCTTGTCAACGGCTTCGGTGACCACAGAATCGAAGGCATCGGTGACAAGCATGTTCCATGGGTCTTGAACGCCAAGGACCAGGATGTTGTCCTCGGCATCGATGATGAGGCTTGCATGCAGATGCTCAGAGTCTTCAACACACCAGAAGGCAAGAAGGTTCTCAAGGAACACGGCGTTTCCGATGAACTCATCGAAGACCTCGCCAACCTTAGTATCTCCGGCATTGCTAACATCCTCGGCTGCATCAAGATGGCCAAGTACTTCGAATTCACAGAGAAGGACATGATGTTCACAGTCGCTACAGACTCTGCTGTCATGTACCAGTCCAGACTCAAGGAACTCGAGGAGAAGCACGGCAAGTACACAGAATGCCAGGCTTACGCTGACTGGTTCAGATACATGCTCGGCGCTTCTACAGACCACGTCGAAGAGCTCACATACGCTACACGCAAGAGAATCCACAACCTCAAGTACTACACATGGATCGAACAACAGGGCAAGACACTCGAGGAACTCAACGCTCAGTGGTACTGCGATAACTAGTGGGATGCTCAGATGAACGCTGCTATCGAATACGACAACTTAATCGTTGCTTTCAACGAGAAGACTGGTCTCCTCAAGCAATACGAATAAATACTTTTTCATACGTTTCTTTTTATGCATCTAACCATAATTATCCCTTAGTTTTTCCTCACCTCCTACTAAAACTATTATTTTTGCGGAAAAAAAATTATAAAGGCTAGTAGTCTTGTATGCTAGTGGTTTCGGGATAATTTCTGTAAGGAACTATCTTAGAATAAAATGAAGTTTATGATGCTTTGAAGCATTTCCTTATAGCACCAAATTTAAACTTCAAAATTACAAATAATCAGATATTTGCATTTGATTCAAGGCAATATTCAACTTTTAAACGATTAACCTCCTTCAGTATAGACATGTTACGACAAAAAATTATAACTCATCGTTCTTCTTCCAAATTTGCAAATAAAGCTTTATTTTTTATTTATAACTATCGAGTTCATAAACTACGAGCACTAAAAAGCTTACACTCAAATAGGCAAGGACTAGCTTGCTTATAACTACCAAATTATCGATTTTGAAATCTTATTTTTTTTTCGATCTATAATATATATCTAAGATCTTTACTATTACAGTTGTTATGGGGAATGTAAAAGCTTCTATTTAAGGAAGACTTTATTTTACAACAAGATTTTTTTTTTATTTTTTATTGTTTTCTTTATTTATTAGACTAAATATTATTTGTATATTAGATTTCAGAAGTTTTTATATATTTTTAAGGATGAAAACACAACCTATGACAACTCTTAGTTATCTATTGGAACGAATGCGAGCTCTTCAAAAATAAATGTCGAAACTTAAGTGTATAGTACGCAATAAAGTTGTCACCATAGGAATTCTTTCGTAAATACGCAAAAAAATTTTCTAAATATTTAAAAATTAAGCCTATAAGAAGCTTTAAGGATCATTTTATGCTAATTTGCAATGGTACTATTTGAGTGGAAAAACAATAGGAAATCCATAAAAAATGACGCCTGAAATCTTTATGGTCATTGTTTTCTACATATATAACATAGTATTTTTTTTCTTCTAATGAATTTAAGGGATATTTCATATGGTAGATAGCAAATATGTCTTTTATAAAAAATTTTAATGTCCGACCATGACGTTCATCCAAACGAATACAACAAACTACGAAGTAATTACAAATACTATATCGATTCATATCTTGCATTGTATCAGCTAAAAACGGAAAAAGAAGAAGAATTAAAGTCAATTTACAAAATGATCAAAACAGAATTGATTGATTCAAAGAATTGCCTCCCCACAAATGCTATTAGAAACATTTTAGATATCATTCCATATAATAATCGCTATACAAAGTCATATTTATTTCTTGCCAAACTCATTTCTGATGATTACCATGTCACAGAGGTCAAAAGTATTGAACCTATTTCAAACTTACTGTTTTATAAAGAATATGGAATTAAATTAGACAAATCTGCCGATTTTAAAGAAGTTAATTCCGAAAAACTCGAAATTCATACAGAAAATTCAATTTACAGAGCAATTATGTATAATGACTTAGAAACATTCATTGCATTCACTGAAAGAGATGGATTTGATAAAAATCAAAAACTTAAATGCGATTTATATCCATTTTCTTACGTAGGATATTCATTACTTGAATTATGTTGTTACCATGGAGCAGTTGATTGCTTCAAGTTTTTAAGAACGAAATTCAGCTCAAAAATAACTGATACATGTCTCGGATTTTCATTTTTAGGAAGAAACAAAGAGATCATGAGTAAATGTTTGAAATATCAAAAACCAAATTATAAATGCATGGAATATGCAATTATTTCACACAACATTGATTTTGTTACATTCTTAATGAATGAGTACAATATAGAGATTGATTTAGATTATTGTGGAACTTATAATAATCTTGAATCATTTTTAGTTTATTTCGATCAAACTAATGATATAAAAAATTGTTTCATTTATTCAGTGAATTTAAATATTCCATCCTTTTTGGAATACTTCCTTTCACTTGGTGCGAATATCAATGAAAAAGTTGAACAGGGAATAACCGCACTTCATATTGCAGCAATGAAAAATAAAAAAGAAACTGCTGAAGTTCTTATTTTACATGGTGCGAACATCAATGAAAAAGATAAATATGGAGAAACAGCACTTCATATTGCAGCAAAATATAATTATAAAGAAATTGCTGCATTTCTTATTTCACTTGGTGCGAATATCAATGAAAAAGATGAATATGGAGAAACAGCACTTCATATTGCAGCAATGAAAAATAAAAAAAGAAACTGCTGAAGTTCTTATTTTACATGGTGCGAACATCAATGAAAAAGATAAATATGGAGAAACAGCACTTCATATTGCAGCAAAATATAATTATAAAGAAATTGCTGCATTTCTTATTTCACTTGGTGCGAATATCAATGAAAAAGATGAATATGGAGAAACAGCACTTCATATTGCAGCAAAATATAATAATAAAGAAACTGCTGAATTTCTTATTTCATTTGGTGCGAATATCAATGAAAAAGATGAATATGGAAAAACCGCACTTCATCATGCAGCAATGAATAATAGTAAAGAAACTGCTGAGTTTCTTATTTCACTTGGTGCGAATATCAATGAAAAAGATGAACATGGAAGAAACGCACTTCATCATGCAGCAATGAATAATAGTAAAGAAACTGCTGAAGTTCTTATTTTACATGGTGCGAACATCAATGAAAAAGATGATGATGGAAAAACCGCACTTCATTATGCAGCAAAATATAATTATAAAGAAACTGCTGAAGTTCTTATTTTACATGGTGCCAAAGAATAATGTTCTTACATAAAATATTCTTTAGTTTTCTGGTATTTTCGAAGAACATTTTCATTAGAGAGTAAATTGAATGTAAAATAATCGTTATTGCGCATTTTTTTGCACTTGAGTTTGTTAGATATGCTGAGTTATATTATATACATCCTGGTGAAGTTGCACATGAATTCACTGGATAAAGTCTTCCAAGAATGCACAACATGCCTAGGAAGTGATTCAATCTGGATAGTATTACTCCAACGAAATACAATATATTGAACAAAAAAATCGACTGAAAGTCGACATTTCATAAATTTTGTTGAGCTTCAGACAAAATAAACGTAAAATACAAGCATATTCAATGGAATATCATTGAAATGTTCAATTCTCTTGAAGAAAAAGGAAATTAATTTTCTGAAACATTATACTTGATTGTCTGTGGAGGATCAATTATTTGTCATGCTCTATTGTATTATCAAATATATATATATATAAAAATTAAATAAACAATGATAGATTGTTTTTACAAAATATGAATTGTGGGAACTACGATTATTTTTGATTCAAATGTAAATTTACATTAGAATTAAAAATAATCATTGTTCATACAATCCAAATTTTATGAAAATTTCGGGTGCCTAACAAATATCATCCAGAGATGCCATTTTTATAAAAAAACATCATTATCATATTTCTGATTTGTTGAAAAAGCAAAGATAATCAATAATCATCATACAAACTATATTAGCAAAATCAAGTGAGTTGATGCAACTAAATGGTTAATATAATAGACGTTTACAAACAATGATATTATAATATCTTCTTATATAGGCAGTTATAGAGATCTTTTCTGCATTCCTCTGGAATTTTTTCAAAAGGGATGGATACTTTATTGGATTGCAATATATTTATATTGTATTTAGCAAAAATCTTGATGACATCTTCGTACTGAGCTATATCTGATAATCTTTCAATTAAATTCTGTATAAAATAGGTTTATCGCAATAGTCTTGAGTTGCTTCTTCTGTATTTTCGCTCGAAGCTGAGGATTTGTAAGAACAAACGCTTAATATTTGTTCGATTTCGTTCAAACGATGCAATTGTTTTCATAATACTATGTCAATTGAATCTTTTGTAGAATGAGGTGCTTTTTGGATTTTTCTTTCGAACCAACAAAGTAAGGTGCTTATTATCAGTAATTTATCAGTATCTTTTTCTACAGATTCTTTGTGTAGCATAAATAGATATCTTACATCAAGAACAAAGTCATAAAATCCGATATATTGCTTGTTTGAAATTTTATTTGAGATGTCTTCGACTTTTAGGGGGATATTTGATGAAACTTCGTTTTCTTCAAGTACCGAAAATGTCGGTTTCGCCTTTAATTTAGTAAAGAGGGAAGCAATGAACTCCCTTTCTATAATATAATTATCCGAATTTGCAACTTCATTGAAATATAAAGCGATTCACAAGGGAAAATCTTTTTGTCTAACATTAGGAGTAGATGATTTCATAAATTTTATGTTTGGATTTTATTTGAACTTTACAAATTTTTTGATCGTAACACAGAAATTTTAGAAATGACTGAGCAAGAAAAACCACAGACTCAAACACAAACACAAACACCATATTCACAAATGTCATGGATCGAGAAACTCCTTACACCAGGCATTGGCGATGGCATCATCATGGCTCTTAGATTTTGCTTTTTCCTTTTAATGGTATTTTTACTTATTACAGTTTTCCTCACATATAACATTCATTTTGTTATTATGTCAATCCTCTCATTATGCTTATTCTTATCTTTCGAATATTTGATTGCAAATCTTAAGAAGTACGACCTCTTAAATCCAGAAGAATCAAAGGAAAAGAAGGAACAAGAAGAAAAAGAAAAGGAGGAAAAGAAGGATGAAAATAAGGAAAAACAAGATTAAATTAATATATATTATAGAGTTCTATTCTAAACCAGTATTTATCTTATAATTAACTTTGCTTAACATTTTTACTTGATTTCGTTAACTTGTAATGTTTCTCTCAGATATTTGAAATTTTGAATCTTAATATCTTTGAATTTCTCCTTTTAACTATGTATGAAACGAAATTACTTCAATAACTTTGCCATACCTAACTATAATTTTACACATTGCAAGATAATTGAAATTTTCTAACGGAATTTTTCATATAAAGCTTATAAATTATTGGCCAACTAATATGTACTTGGCCTATTCATAATATGGCCAATGACTTAGGTAAATATAATTTTGATATTCTGAGAGATTAAGAATTTCGAAAGAAAAACTTGACCTAAACATGGAAAGATAATAAAACTTGAAATAAATCATATTTTATATTTAAATGCAAAGAAAAAAAATATTTCAGTTTTAATCCTCATCGCGCGCTCCCATAGAGCGAGGAGCTGGTCCACTAGCTTTCTTAGCCATGCAGATCTGGTCAACACGAAGAAGTGTACAGGCAACTTCGCATGCAAACTTCATGCCCCACTCTTTGACATGGGCAATATCCCAGGCACCAAGTTCAATAGAATTGCCAATGTCCATATTGATAACATCAACACCTGATGAAGATTCGCCCTTGTTGTGTGAGGCACGGATCTTGGCCATGAATTCTGAAATGCGGATGCCACTGTTCTCTGCAATGGTGCGTGGAATAACTTCAAGAGCTTCGGCAAACTTGCGGATGCCGTACTGGTCCATGCCAGGACGTGATTCGGCAAACTTAGAAATCTGTGTGGAAAGCTCCATCTCTGATGCACCGGCACCTGGAACAAGAAGTGGATGCTCTGTGAGGATTCTGAATGAGTTGACTGCATCATCGAGGGAACGCTCGATGTCGTCAATAAGATTTGGTGTAGCACCGCGGATGATGACAGTAGAGATCTCGCCATCGGCTTCGAAGATGACAATTGGTGTGGAACCAATCTCGCGAGCTTCGACCGACTTGCAGTGGCCAATCTCGTCTTCGGTTGGTGCACCAATGCGGAGAAGTGGAACTGCTTTCACTGCGCGAGCAAGACGCTTGATGTCCCAGTTAGATGGTAACTGAACAGCCATGATGCCGTGCTTCTCAAGGTAGTGGATACCAAGCTCGGTGAACTTAGACTGGCAAACAACAACATTGACGCCTTTCTCCTTGATAGAAAGAACCATCTGTTCCATGCGGTTCTCCTCGGAAAGAGCAAACTGTTCCATCTGCTTGCCGGATGTGAAAACGGTGTTCATCTTTGTGTCCGTCTCGGCAAAGTCGAAAGAGCATGTGTAAAGAGCAATCTTGACGTCGTCTTTGCGGCGGATGGTGCCAACAACTTCACGTGGAATAGCAAAGCCTTTGACAACAAACGAGTCTTGGATAGAACCACCAAGTGCTTTAGCGTAGCGGACGTTGTCGACGTTGAAGCGAAGATTGTGGTTTGGATATGCCATCAAACATGCTTCCGCAGCAATGTTTGAAAGGAAGTCAGCGTCTAAGTACTGGTGTGAGGAGAGTGGTGTCTTTAAGCAAGCAGCAACGGATGCTTTGTCGTCAACGTTGAATTTATTGCCAAGATCAAGTGTTGGAAGAATGCGAAGTGCTTCGGCAAGTGCTTTCTGGTAGCCTGCAACAATATCTTTTGTGTTGATACCGGCACGAACAAGCTCAGTAGCACGGCGAAGAAGCTCACCACCGAAAACTAAAACAAAGTTTGTGCCATCGCCAACTTGCTCAGCTTGCATCTGTGATGCGGTGACAAGCATCTTGGCGGCGGGATGCTGGATTTCAGCCTCGTTCAAGATGGTGGCTGCATCACCAGTAACATAGAGTTTGCCAAAGTGGTTTTTGATAATTTTCTTCATACCGTTCGGACCAATCGACGTGCGTGTGAGTTCGCTTAAATCAACAACTGCGTCGATGTTCTGAAGGAGAACTTCATCTACACCGGAGAAATAGCGGGTGCCGTCCTTGAAAAAGCCATTAAATGATAACTTATTTGCTGCCATTTCAAATGTGGTCAGGTGATTTTAGAGATTTTCGTTTATTAATTTTTTTTTTGAAAATGGGAGGCATCACCTGAACACTCATTGGTTAAATGGCACATTCGATATGATATTACAGGTAATTTCTTTTTTAAAACTCATTTTTCTTTTGATATTTTCTAATTTCAAATTCTCTTATGTTTGTCCGCGCTATTTTGGCTCAATTTCTTATTATTATATAGATAGCATTAGGTTATTAGATTCTAAATCGGATGCTTAGATTCAATCATTCTAATTCTCACCTCACTCTTCATTCAATATTTTGCTTGATATCTCTATTTTTAGAGGCATTCGCGTTTTAGGTATAAAAAAGATAAAAAATGTAATTTCTGGTTATAATATATGTAAAATTCCTTAATTTTCTCTATCATTCTGTAAATTTTATGATTATATTAAAGAAATCTCATCATAACCTTTAATACTCTAGGAAATAAGATCAAATTCTGACTATACCTATTTATAACAAAGAAATAAAAATGAAAATGCATACAATAGCAGTATAGATATACAATGCCTGAAGAAAGATCAAATATGGTTACTGCGCATGCTAAATTCATGATAATGATTAATATTTCGCTTTTTGTCATGGCCGATACAAAACTTTACAAGAGGTCAATTTTTGTTCAGAAAAAATTGAGAGAGGGTCTACGGTTTTGGTCTCTCTCTTTTCCTGATGTCTGCAAAGCTCGTCAAGAATGCTGGCTACTTCTCACGTTTCCAAACAAAGTTCCGCAGGCGGCGTGAGGCTAAGACTGACTACGTCCAGCGTACTCAGCTCATCCAGCAAGACAAGACAAAGTATGGTGCTGCCAAGTACCGCCTTGTCGCTCGTATCACAAACACAAAGGTTATCGCTCAGATCGTTGTTGCCGAACTCACAGGTGATAAGACAGTCTGCCAGGCTCTCTCCACAGAACTTCCAAAGTACGGCATCAAGCTCGGTCTTTCCAACTACCCAGCTGCTTATGCTACAGGTCTTCTTGTTGCTCGCCGCTTCCTCACACAGATGAAGCTCGCCGATGTCTTCAAGACAGAGATCACAGAGGAATACCTCAACGATGAAGAGAACAGACGCCCATTCAAGGTCATCCTCGATGTTGGTCTTGCTCGTACAACAACAGGCGCTAAGGTCTTCTCCGTCATGAAGGGTGCCGTCGATGGTGGCCTCTTCATCCCACACAACGTCTGCCGCCTCGCCTGCAAGTTCGACAAGAAGGACAAGGATGCTGGCAAGGACCGCAAGGACGTCCCAGCTGAAAAGATCGTTAAGGGCAACCAGTACTACATCCTTGGTGGCGCTGTTGCTGATTACATGCGCAAGCTTAAGAAGGAATCCGAAGAGAAGTATAACAAGCAATTCTCTCGTTATGTTAAGGCTGGTATTACTGCTGATTCATTAGAAAAGATTTATAAGGATGCTCATGCTGCCATTAGAAAGAACCCAGCTGCTACAGTTATTGCTGATAAGAAGAAACACGCTGAGGAGATGAAGCAGAAGCACGCTCCAAAGAAGCCACAGACAAAGAAGCTCTCCTTCGAAGAGAAGCGCAAGATCCTTAACGAACATCTTGCCGCTGCTGGACTTCCACCACGTAAGTAAAGTAGTTACTTAATTTGGTTTGGTTGTTGAATTAATTTAATAATTTTTTTTAATTTTTTTTATTCTTTCGTGAGTTAATTTGTTTTCATAAGTAAGTAGTTCTATCTTATTTGCTTCTCGATTTGAAATACGAGTTCTTTCATGATTATTCAAAATATTTAATTCGTTATATGAAAAATTTGCTTTGTTACTACTAAAATCCCATTCCTTTCCATAAAATGAAACGATCCAATGAATATATCCTTAATTGCCAATCTAATTTACTAACATTAGGCTTTTGTTATAAAAATATAAACACCATTAACAAGAATGGTTATTTGTTTTAATTAAAAAAATTATATCTTTCCTTATTTGTTTATTAAAAAAACGATAATCAAAAAAACGCTTTTTCGATGACTGATCAAGAAATTTACTTGTTTCCACGGCGACGGAATGTGTACAAGTTCTTTTCTTCTTCCTGGAGAACCTTGCGCTGTTGGTTGACTGTCTGTTGCATGTTGAGCTTCTGAATCATCGGGTTCTTTACAGCCTTCTTTGGAGCCTTTGCGTCTGCCTCGTTCAGCTTCTCTGTGACGATCTTTTCAGCCATTGCGATGATGGCGTCTGTGTGTCTCGCGACAATCTTAACCTGCATGGACATGATACCTTCTGCATCACCACCCTTAACGAGAACTTGTGCGACGAGGGAAGCGACAGCACCCTTGATGATTCTTGCTGCAGCGATGACCTTGAATTCTGCGTCTTCTTCGCCACCGTTGACGAGAATTTCTGCGCAAATGATAAGCAACTCAGCAGCCTCTGTCAAATCCTGAGCGACCTTGATCATACCTGCTTCGTTATCGATCTTTCCGAACTTGGCGATGAGCTGTGCAGTGATTTCTCTTGCACGGACGAGGATCTTTGCTGTAGCCTGGAAGATTGGCTGTGCAGAAGCGACAAGGAATGCTGGAAGAGTGCCTGCAGCTGCCTGGATGTCTGGGATTTCGTGTGTTTCATCAACTGGCTGAACGACATCGACTTGTTGAGCGAACTGGGAAAGTCTTGATGTCATGTCTTCGATAGCCTTTGATGTAGCAGCGAGTTCTCTTGTAACTTCATCCATTGACTCGTCTTCTGGAGCAGCGTTGACTTCGATCTTTGATGCATCGACGGCGACTCTCATTGATGAATCTGATGAGTTTCTCAATGAGTTGATTGCGTCTTCCATTTCTCTCTCGAAGTTAGGTGCTCTGAGCAATCTAGATCTCATTGCGTTCTGTAATGCAGTGATAGCATTAGAGAAGCCGTGCAATGTGGCCTGCTGTTCGACCTGTGATCTTGTATCTGCTGTTGCTCTTGCCATACCTAATGCCTTCTCCGCGAATGAGTTTGCGAGCTTTGTGAGTGTCAACAAAGCGTGGAGAAGTTCACCAGATGGAGTAAGGTTGGCATCAGTGACCTTCTTGAACTCAGTGATGCCTTGTTCGAGCTGTCTCTTTGCGAGATCCATTTCATCGAGAGCGTCTGTTGGAGAGATCGCTTTGTCTGGGAGTGGTGGCAACTCGTACTTCTCTGGGACTTTGGCGGCTGATGCTGGATCTGGTTCGATGATGATCCTGTCTGTGAGGAATGGAGAGATCTTTGTGATTCCCAAAAGTGTTGTTGAGATGTTCTTCAATGATGGGAAGAGTTTGTTTGAAGCAAATGGAGAAACGAAATTGAGTGTCTCTGATGCCTTCTGGATATCTGGAATTCCCTTTGTCAATGCGGAGAACTGTGTACCTAACTCTGTGCTGGATGCACCGACAGCCTTGCCTCTGACGGCAGAAACAGATGCTGTCAACTGGGAAATAGCGGCATTCAATGTGTCGACGATTTCACCACGTGTTCCGACCCACATTTCAGGAACCAAAGCGTTGGCTGAGAGAGCAGCAAGTCTGGCCAATTGGATGGCTGCTGTTGACAAGTCAGCGTACATTTGGTTACGTGTCTGGTCGAATTCGTTGATTTCGCCTGTTGGTCTCTGTGGAGATTCGACAATGTTGATCAAAGTATCGAACTGCTTTGACATCTTACGGTTGAGACGTCTGATGTCTGCAGAAAGATCTGTCTTTGATGTCGGGATCTTCTCAGCCAAAACAACAAACTCTACGAATATTGTCATCAATTCAGCGAAACACTCAACCAAAACACGAGACAAAGGTGTGAAAGCGAGGCCACCCAACATGAGGGAGTGCATTGTAAGGACTGTTGCATCTGCTGCACAAACCAACATCTTCTTGAGAGATACATAAACTTGTGGGAGCTGATCAGCCTTTGGAGTCTTTGCGAATGTCAACAAAAGGTTGACTTCATCGCGGAACAACTCAGCCTTGTCGTAAACGAAATCGCAGACAGTATCGGAGTCTCTGATTCCTTCCAACTGGTAGAACATTGATGGTTCTAAGTGTGCGAGTTTCTCAGAGAACTTCTGGATGAACGATACCAATGTATGGTCACTCTTTGACTGTGTGATTGACTTCAATAAGCTGGAAGCATCGATATCTTGTGGTGCAACCAATGACAAAGCAGCGAATTCAGAGAGTGCTTCGACAGCAGCAATTGAATCTTGGAGTGTTGCATCCTTTCCTTTCATTCTGAGGACGTTCAATGCGTTGATTACCTGTTGGATGATTGTTGCAGAGTACTTCTCGATTTCCTTCTGCTTCAGTTTGGAAATTGGTGCCAAAGCTCTGATCTGTGTTGCACAGGCGATGATCTTCATGTACTGTGCTTGTGCAGTGCCTCTTGCGTTCTCGAGGAGTTCTATGATTAGATCAACGAGTTCCTTGTGGAGTTTCTGGATGTGTGGAGAAACTGTCTTACCGTAAGAGTTCTCTGTGGCTGCGAGGGAAACAGAGAGAGATGTGAATGCTTCGAGGAATGCAGATCTGTCTGTTGTCGCTGAAGTGATGAGTTTCATGATGGCGTTGTTCATCTTCTTGAGGCCATCTGCGACTTCGACTGTCTGTACCTGTGTTGCATCGAACCACTGCATCAAAACAGATCTTGCATCAGAAGACTTTGAGCGTTTAAGTCTTCTGATGATGTACTTAGCGAATGATTTGACGAGTGTTGAGTGGATGTTATCAGCCATGGCATCGAACTTCTTGATCTCCTGTATGTCTGCTGGGATCTTGTAAGCGAGAACTGGCTGTGGCAACTGTGCAATTGATGCGAGCAAATCATTGAGATTTGTGATGAATTTCTGGAAGAATGTTGGAAGGTTCACTCTATCCTTGTTGTCTTCGCCTGATGCAATGGATTTGACAAGTGGCCAAATAACTTCTGTCGTTGACTTGAGAAAGTTAATTGATCCTGTGAGTGGTTCAGCGAGTGGTTGCTGCTTCTGCTGGAAGGAGTCAACTAACAAAGCCATTGTGAATGGAATAGACATGAAATAGAGTGCTGTGACATCAGCTCTGTCGACAAGTTGTTGAACAGACTGTGACAAAGCAATTGCACGTGTTGTGAATGAAATGATCGAGCAGACAAAAGCTTCTGCATTGGCAAAGTTCATCAATGATGCTAATTGGCTGGCCATTGATGGTAATCTTGTGTTTGCCTTTGCAAGAGCTGTTGAAGCGATCTTGAAGAGTGGGAATGATGGGGATTCAGCGTTTCTGTTGGAGAGATCAATGAACTGCTGTCCTGGCTGTGCGAAATTGTTCAATTGGTTGATTAATTTGACAATTCCATCAGCTTCAAATGACTGAAGAACAGGAGCAGAGCCCATGATTGTCTGGATTGTCTTGACAGCTTCTGTTGTGCTGGCAATGTACTGCTGCATTGACATTGTCTGGAAAATACCCATCGGGAAGGACAAAATTCCTTGGACAGTGTCCGCTCTTAAGTGAACTGTTGCAGATGTGGTAAGATAGAACTGGAGTAACCAGTTGGCGTATCTGTTACCTGCATGGGTGAGCTTCTCGCAGTGTTGCTGCATCTGGACTTTGATGTCTGGTTCAGTGCATGTTGATGCAAGTTTTGATAATGGAGATGGAAGGGAACCAAGCGCATCGAAGAAGAGCTGCTGCTGGTTAACGAAGTTTGGATCGGTTGGAATGAAGTCCAAAATGGTCTTCGATGTCTGAAGAACGTAATTAATCTCGCCAAGGTATTCATCGTTGAAGTATTCAAGGTTTGCATCGATAATGTTGATGAGTTGAAGCATTGCTTGACGTGACTCTGTGAATATGGACTTTGTGATGTCTGTAATCTTGAGGGCAAGAGTATTAAGAAGATCTTCAGCTTCTGTAAGGGATGGGAAGACGTAGCTTGCGAATCTTGCAATAGAAGCAATAACCTGGGCAGTCATTTCTGGATTCGAGGCACAAATACTTGTCATTGCGATAAGTGATGTGACAACATCCATATTCTGACCGTAACCGAATGGAGCGAAGAACTGGGCAAGGAGACTTGACTGCTTAAGCATTTCTTCGAGCGACTTGTTCTGAAGGAACGCTCCGGTAAAGTTCTTAATTACATCTGTAAGTTCTTTAAGCTTAAGCTTAACGACAAATAAGTTGAGAGTTTGTGCGAATGATACAATTGCCTTTGTGATGTCTGTGAACTCGACGGTGTTGTTCAATGGTTGTTGGAAAGCAGCAACAAATTTATAAAGTGGGAAAATGAAGGTTCCGAGGATTTGTGTGATATCGGCGGTAACCTTTGCCATATCGGATGAATGCTCGGCGATTGTGCCGCAAACGTTGAAGACTTGTTGACCCCATTTCATAAAAGCGTCGGCCTGGGCTTTGATATTTTCTACGGTAGATAAGAAAATGAGGTTAACAGCAAGCTGGTCGAAAGCGACATAAAAAAGCAGCTAAAGCGTGGTAAAGTTCGAGTTTGGAATTATCGAGTTTTGGTGCTTTTGGAGCTTGTTGTTGCTCGTAAATTGTAAGATTCTGAACGATGGCGTTTGCATGATTCTCAACCCAGCTGACAGATTTCTGAACGTCCTGAAGAATCTGAGCAACGGATGGGGCAGAGCTTCCTCCAAGGGTTACCATTGTCTTTTCGAGAGTTAAGAAATAATCTTTTGCTTCATTAATACCTTTGATGATCTTATTTGCTTGTGGTAACTTCGGCTCGACCTTTTCGGCATATTGAAGTAATACTCCCCAAAGAGCTTGGATTTTTTGATAACTCGAATAAATAATAGGCTGGCCACCAGATGGTGTATATGGAATGTGATCTTGAATAACTTTAAGGAGTTGTGGAATATAAGATGCCAAAATGAGAGTTCTATTCGCTGTAAAACCATATGGAGACAGCACGAAAGAGACAGTATCTCTCGTAACTAAGTCCTCTGGCTTTGTTAATTTGAATTTGGATAAGGAGGTAATAAACTGAGTGTATCCTCTCATCCACAGATATTTTTATTTCTTCTTTTCTCATAAATTTTGAATCGAAAACGATTAACTTTTGTCTCAAAGTGAAGTGATTATATCCCATAATTCTTGATGGGATTATTCTATGATAATAGACTATCATAATTCGGAAAATGTAAAATGATATTTTTTTGATCAGCCTAGGAAATTTTACGTCTCACTCATGATTGGAGCAGTGTTTTAATTTATATCGAAGCAAACTATTTAATTCCAAGACTTGGCTTTGCATCCACGAGTGCAAGGATATGGTCGTCTGGTTTTAAAAAATCATGACTTATGATTGATTTCATAATCCCTTTAAGCATAACCATACATTTTTTACCTTTTAACAAATGCATGGATGATGTGAAATATATACTTTTGATGTGAAAGACTAATTCTTATTATTCAAGATTTTTTGATTGAAATTATTTCCTAAATATCTGCGATAATAGGGTTATTAGTTGAAAAAAAATAAAATACTAAATACATACTGCACTTCTTGTATTTGCCCAATAAGAAAGGTCCCATAAAAAGTGGTTATCCCTGAAAAGTTGTCAAACCGCTATTTATCGAAATGATTTTATTGTATTTTAAGATCAAAATTATTTTTAGAACAATATTTTTATATTTTTTATTTGAGATCATATTGAAAATTTTAATTGTAATCCAATCAATAAATTTCATTAAAGATAATATATACATCTAATCAAATATTTAAAATTATCATAAAATTAGTATTTCTCATTTTTTTAATTTTAATTATTCGAGGAAATTATTTTGAGTAGGGTAATTTTAGCTAAAAGTGACACGCCTGTAAAAGTGACACACTCGTGAAGGGTGTGATTACCGATCGGTAATTTCGACAGTTTAGAATTTAAAATTTTTTATGGAACTGTTGCGAGTTTCATAAAGAATTTAAGGAATATAAGCAAAGATTTGAATCAAAATCTTAGACCTAAGCCGCTCGATTCGCTCGCGGCTTCCGCGAATTACAGATCAGCAAAGATTTGAATCAAAATCTTCGAACTAAGCCGATCGCTTCGCTCGCGGCTTTCTTTATTATTTTAAATTTGCATATTTCCATCAAAAGTTCATAAGGTAAAAAATTTCGTTTATATTATTGCAAAATAAAATCTTCATTATCAAAATAATATTAAATAATAATATAATATAATTTATAAACAACTATTATTTAATAAAGTTTAATTGCCAAGGTTCATCTAATTTTTTGATTTTTAATGTTTTATGAATTTTATTTATTATGTATATATCTAATGAAGATTATATATGTAGAAGATAAGTACCTTAATATGTACGTAAAGTAGTAAGTTTTGACAATGAAATAAGCTCTGTGACCATGTAAATATATATCTATGCAAAACGAGAGGTTATGCCATAATTTTTTTAGTTATCAAATTTTCCTTTTTTGAGAGAAGTCTCTCAATAATTTGAGAAGAATCTTTGATATAAAGAGATACACATTTGTAGAACGAAGTAAGTGTTTTCCAAACATTTTATATGTTCATCCTGTATAACAATATAAAGCTGCATAGTGCCATCTTGTGCGTTTGCTATTTTATGCACTTTTCATTGAGATAATCCCTCTTCTCGGGTGATTTTAACAGTCAACTCAATTTTAAAATAAAGATTTCATCAAAATGATTTCGAAATTCGGATATTGATTATATAAATAGCACTGTTAACATATTTTGGATGAGTAAAAAATACCTTGTTTTGTATGCATTTAGTACACCTTTATTTTTGATTAAAACTATAAAATTTTTATTCCTTATATAATAAATAGTATATGTTACATAAACATGAAATTCAATAGCATTCAATTTTGGATTTTTTAGATTTGGTAAATTTTAGAAGAAATAAAATCAGCAATCAAAATAAAGAAACTTTTTTGTATCTTCTATGATTACCTTTTGGTACTAAATTTTGCATTAATAAGTAAATTATCTGTATTATTCTGTGAGCACAAGCCCTCAGTTATGCTGGTAGTGAATGATGAATCGTCATTTTGCGAAGAGAACGCGATTATTAAGGTAATTTTGAGAATTGTCTTGAATTATTTAAAATTAAAGTTAATTGAATAGGTAGGATAACTAGCCTTTGCTAAATTTGTATAATTTGACCTTATTCTAGTTGGATCTGAGAATATTTTGCTGAAATAATAAATTATATCGCCGATTTATGAAAATTTCTCTGATGGGACCGACTCGCTGAAACGTATTAGTGTTAATGGTAACTTGTCTGAATTTTCAAATTTTTTTCGAAATCCAAAAAATCACAAACAAAAGCATCAAAATTAGATTTGCATTTAAGGTTTTCATTTTTTTTGGAAAATAAAAATATTTTTCCCCAATAAAGTTTATTTTTACTTTTGAGAGGAATAGAAACGTTATTTTGGAATTTTGAAACGACAGAAATGTTCCATTTTTAATGTAGATTCTAAAATGGGGTCAAATTTTTGATTGAACCGTTATCCATTGAAAAACCTCGATTTTAAAATGTTATTCCAAAATATTCATCTAATGATATAGTATATATTTATTAATTATTACTTTTTATTCAATTTTCACTTTTGGCGGGATTTCATTTTTTTGTTGTTGTATGGGCCATATTGTTCACCCAAAACGGAAAACAAAGGCAATGCATAACATTTTACTCCACGAACGTCGTCGACTCTCAGCGCGACAGATGCTTGGTGCTTGCATAATGACCGGAATGCCATATACAAAAGGTGCTCGCTTTCTTTCTCTTTGTGGAACTAAGCCCCCTGTGAAGAGTGGTGTCATGAGACAACAGAGATTTTGTGACGATAAGATTAGAAGACTTAAAAGTATTTCCCTAATGCTGTCGAGAAAGTCCTTCAGTGGTTACTTATCCATTGATGCAAGATGGACGCACAGGCGAAACTCGCCAAGTTGTACAGTAACTGCGCTCGATGCTGTCACAAAAAGAGTTCTTGCATGCGTGAACATCAACCATATTGGTGGAAACAGACAGCATGCTCAGTATTCCGGAGCTTCCAACAATATGGAAAGTGCTGGAACTCGAATCATCTTGAAGCAATTAAAGAAATACAATATCTTGAAAGATGTTAAAGAGATTATTAAAGACCGAGATAACAAAAGTGTCTCTGTCTTTAAAGAATTTGGCGTCTCTCATCTTGAAAGATTCGATCCAGGTCATGTATCAAAAAATATCTCAAAAGATTTTACAAAGTTCTCAGCTTCTCATAAGACAGTTGAAGTTTTCAACGACAAGACTCAGAAGATTGAAAAAATAGAGAGACCTTTCTGGGGTCTGAATGCAAGCCTAAGTATGTGGCTTTGGTCATGTTTTGCCGAAGAAAATATTGACAAACGTACGAAAATGTGGGAGAATTGTGTCTACCATTACGTAGGCAATCATTCTTTTTGCGAACCGCACAATTACAAATGCTTTGAATGGCAAAAAGGTGTCAATTCGATCCAACTTCAATTCATGCTCTATGACTGGGTTCACAAATGGACACCCATAGTTTCCAAAGTTTCTTCCATTGGATCTACCTGCATGAATGAAGCGTTTAACTCCAAAATTGCATGCTATTTGGACAAATCAAGAGCCTGGAAGAACATTAACATTAGAGTTAACGTTGCAATCTTAGAATGGAATGATCCAGAGCATTTTCTCGGAGATATACAAAAAGCATTACATCTTCCCCCACTTCCAGAAGATTGTGTCAAATCATTTGAAGAGAATTGTTACTCCAAAATGATATTGAAACAAAAAACTGTTACAAAAGGTTCTAAAAAACAGAACAAATACAAAAAATCCATTCAGAGTGTACCAGGAGGAGATTATCAAGTTTTCAAGTCCGAATGGGAATCAGAAGACGAAGACATTGATGACTTTGATTAACGAAAATTACATTTTATTTATTGTTTTTGTTTTTAATTAAATTATTATTATGCTCATTTTCTTATTTTGATTTTTTCTCATTATGATATAAATAATTTATTAATGCATTTATCCAATAATTATGCTATGATATTTTTATGCCTTATTTCATTTCTCTTATATTTGATAATCTGGTAAAATATAGTTCAGACTATAATCATTTTAGATTATTGATATATTTATATAGGTTAGAATAAAATTAGTTTCATTTTCTACTTTGATTTTGAATTAATAATTTATAATATCAAATATTATGGCGTAACCTCTCCTTTAAAATATATATATATATAGGCCTATAGAGTTTATTGGCACTCTCAAAACTCTAGAATTTTGAGTTTACTATACCCTTAATATGTACGTAAATTTTAATGAAATTTATACAACATTATAAAAATTTATGAATAAAAACTTGATATAAAATAACATTTTTATTTTTACTAAGAAAAAAAAGGTTTTTGATAATAAATTTATTTTATTTCGAAAAAGTAACAATAATCGTAAAAGGGTATTGATGGGCTTGCTAAAGTAACTAATTTTAGCTGTCAAATACTTTTGTATTTTGAAGTAAATTAGTATAAATTTGCTTTTACTTTTATTTCGAAAAAGTAACAATAATCGTAAAAGGGTATTGATAGGCTTGCTAAAGTAACTAATTTTAGCTGTCAAATACTTTTGTATTTTGAAGTAAATTAGTATAAATTTGCTTTTACTTTTATTTCGAAAAAGTAACAATAATCGTAAAAGGGTATTGATAGGCTTGCTAAAGTAACTAATTTTAGCTGTCAAATACTTTTGTATTTTGAAGTAAATTAGTATAAATTTGATATTATTTTAACTCCCTTTGAAAACCTCAATTTTCCATACAGAGGGAACGGGAATAGCATCCAATATTCCCTGAGAATGGTTGCGCATTCTCAGTTCCCTCTATATTTCGAACGAAGCTCTCATCGGTCTTTTTTTTAATACTAAACGTTTTTTTCCCTGTCACTTTTAGCTAAAATTTGGGTTTGCCATTATTTTTTCGGGAGGGCAATTAACTATCG